GTTCACCCGCTGTGCAGTCTGCCGATATGCACACCGAGCAGAGTCTATTTTATCTAATTCATTTCTGCGCAGAGGTGGGCGCTAGGTAGGTAGTTTTACAAAGCTAGCACGCCACACGCAGGGCCCACAACGTATTTATCCCGTTATATGATTAGTAAAGGCCTGCCTAAGTTCATGTTCATTGGTCAGTAATTACCATCCCATCTGCTGTTGGTTAGCTATATTTAAATTAGCCTCACTTGCTACTTAAATTAGCACACATACTTCCTACGGGGGAGGGCAGCAAGTCCTTTTGGTCTTAAATTAAGTCAGTGGTCTTGATTTCCCCCCTCACCCCCCCCAGCTGCTTTTACCTTTCCCCCAGTTACCGTGCTTTGGCAATCATCCAGTTTTTTGGTACCTTCTGGGGCAGGATGTTCCCTTTTATCAGTTTCTCAGTTCTCCTTCAAGGTTATAGCCACCAGTTCTTTTCATAGTTAACTGATAGAGTAAATACTTCCTTATTTCTTAGCTCCTCCCTCCAAGAGCCAGATCCTGTTACACATGGTTCATTGTTTTGGTCATCAGAAAATTCCATTTTTTGCGGTATGTCAACCCCTCTCCCTCCTCAGCTGATGGCGTTTGTAGCAGAAGAGAGGAAACGCTACACGGTCTATCCGCCGCCTGACCAAGTCTTCACCTGGACGCAGATGTGCGACATCAGGGATGTGAGTAGAGCTGTGGGCGCTGGGGAGAGGTGGGGGCTGGTGCACTTAAAATTATGAAAATGCAGGGTTGGGTGCACAAACACGTTCATTTGATGTTTGGTCTTCTAAGCCTCAATCCCATGTGATACGGATGCTGTTGTTTCTCTCGCATAACTTGTAAATCCTGGCTTCTCTTTCATCTCTGATACTGAACCGTGGCGTTATTGTTTTATTACCCTCACTGGCCACAGAATTTCCTTTAAAACTTTAGTCGGACTTTTGACCTTATTTCCAGTGTTACCAATTTAATATAGTACTTGATTTTTGGATCTCGTATATCTCTTGTTTTTTTAACTGATCTGTGATGAACTATAATTAAAAAAAATAAGTGTTTAAGGTAATCCCATTGCCAATAAGCTGTGTCAAAAATATCACAGGAGGTGTGACATAAAACTAAAACGTGAGGAAATCTACTTGGAAGGTACGTTAACAAGGTGTTTTATTGTAGCTCTTTGAAAACATTGGTCTTCATAATAATAATATCTTCATAATCTTGGCAGCAAAGCTGTGGTGATGTTAATCCTTAGGTAGGGACTGTGTTCTTTAACTTGTGTATAATGAGGTGTCGGTGATTTAAATCCAGCTCCTGGGGTTTGGGGTTTTTTTGCCTGTGTGTTTGTTTTAGAATAAAGCTCACGTATAAGCTTTTTTCTTTTTTTTTTCCTTCCCTCTTTTGCGAATAATACTGATTATAATTCAGTGCTAACAAAGGTCTGCTTTCAGGTAAAGGTTGTCATTTTGGGACAAGATCCATATCATGGACCTAACCAAGCTCATGGGCTCTGTTTCAGTGTCCAGAAGCCTGTTCCTCCTCCCCCAAGGTATGACAGATCTCAATTTGCAAAATCTCTTTTGTTTACAAATCATTTGCAGTTGTGTTACTTATGGCCATGAGTCAGATAAGTGATAGGAAATGCGTTGCAACTATTGACATTTGAGTTGTGCATTGCCTAGAAAAAACATCACTGCAAAAGGTGGATAATTGTATATAGTTTGGTATTCTGAAGAGCATGCTGGACATAAACTTGGCTTTTCAATTGTGCTGAGACCATCTCATTAAGCTTCTATCCAGGCACGCGAAGGGGGCTCCTTGTTACCCTGCTTCTACAAACGGCTTTATTATAAGATAAGATTAAAATCAATCCTCTTCTTGTCTAGTGCAAGAGCAGTAAGTGGTGCTGTTTGCTCTTATCTTTAAGCGTGCATATTTAAAATCTTCTGGTGTTTTTGTTTACAGTTTAGAAAATATTTACAGAGAACTGTCCACAGATATTGAGGACTTCACTCATCCTGGTCATGGTGATCTAACTGGCTGGGCCAAGCAAGGTGAGTTAATAGACACTCCAGTAATGTGTCCACTACAGGTCACGAAGAAGCCTAGCTAGAAGAAAGATCCATGGTTGGAAACAGTCCATCTGTAAAAGAGAAAATAAATTCTGAGTGCCTGTTGCTTAGTGGGTACCTTAGAATGAAAATTTAACTTATAATTTCTCAGGGGAAGCAGGAAAAAGCAGTTAATGCTTGATTTTTTTTTTTGTTTGTTTCATCCTCTGTGTATGTGCTTTGTTTGCTAGGAGTGCTCCTGCTCAATGCTGTCCTCACCGTGCGAGCTCACCAGGCCACCTCCCACAAGGAGAGAGGCTGGGAGCAGTTCACGGACGTGGTGGTGTCCTGGCTCAACAAGAACTTGCACGGGGTTGTCTTCATGCTGTGGGGAGCCTATGCCCAGAAGAAAGGCAGCTCCATTGACAGGGTATAGGTTACTACTCCTCATCTCTTCCCTCTCACTAATTTTTTTCTTCAGTTGGGTGGACACTAGAGGGCACTTCCCTTACAGAGTTGGGGTTTTCTCTGTGCTTGAACTCTGCTGTCAAATTTTTTTTAGTCGCCCTTCTGTTCCAGCTTAGCCTTTGCCAGAATTAAGCAACAAAAGTGGAGCAAGTAAAATCTTCTGTTGTCAGAAAAGTATCCAGCTGAGGACAGAACTGTTTTTTTTCTAGGAAAAAGCTCATAAATAAGTATAAATTTTGTGTTTAGGATTACAGCAATTGAAAAATGGCCAGGGTATTACTGCTGCTTTACATAGTCTGTCCTCATCTGCTCAGTGGGACAAAAGTCTCGGTCCTCGTGGCCAGTTTTTTGGGTCTTCAGGCTGGTGGCTGAGGAGGTGTAGAGGGGAAATCACACCTGCTTGGTCAGGGCAGAAGCAGCCAGCCTTGTCCAGGGAGCTGAAAGCATGCAAATCTAACGAGCGGTTTCTAACGCTTTACAGAAACGTCACCACGTCCTGCAGACGGTTCATCCCTCACCTTTCTCTGTCAACAGAGGGTTTTTCGGCTGTCGACATTTCTCGAAGACAAATGAATTGCTCAAGAAATCGGGCAAGAAGCCCATTGACTGGAGAGCACTCTGAGCTGCGCGCAGAGGCTTGCAGGGTCTAATGTTTGGAAACAGCCCCTGTTTCAGGGGTTGTCTCGTTTCTGAAAAACTTTTGCTGACCTGAGAATTACTCTTTGGATATTGATCAAGGAACAAATGACCAAACTTTCAGAGATGTTATATTTTTTTAAGTGTTTTTTAAAGAGCAGATTGGAGTGTTACATGGACAACTTCTCTGCTGTTTGAACAGGTCTCAGCCTAGTTTGAAGCAAAGAAAAAAAAAGTTCTATTGTGTTCGTTGTTGTAATGGGAATATATTTTCAGGCTCTTGTGAAGGGTTGTCAATTCCTACAGGTGAAGCTGTTCAGCTTTTGTAAATACCCTGCTGCACTTCCTCCCACTTCTTTGCCTCCTGCTGTGTGCATCCAGATTTCATATTTGGGGGGTGTAGAGCTGACTCCATGGGAGAAAAGGCAGATGCTTTTGGTTTTAGCTTTTTGCTACAGATTAGGAGATTTATTAGAAGTATGGCCTGTTGGCGCTGCAAAGACTGTACACTGTCAGAAGTGTTACTTTGATGTATCCATAATCTCAAGATTTTGGGGTAAATCCTGCCAGCAGCTGAGGGGAGACTGTGACCGAGGCTCTGGTCATGCTCTGAGCTTTTTGTTGGCGTTTAGAGGAAAACTGTAGGTGTTTAGAGGAAAACTGTAGGCTTTTAGATTCATACTGGCTGTGTTAATCACTTGGATGACAGGTGAGCTGTGATGACCATAAACTTTGTGGTACCAGCTGATGGCAGTAGCAAAGGTTTGTTCATCAAGATGTGCCAGTTGATGGGCTGATGGTTGCTAGTTATTTAAGATCTTCAAACAGGGAGTTTTTTGCTTTACCTTCATAGGAGCAAATCAAAGTTTCTAGCCACTGTTGAAAATAACTTTTGGGACTTCCAAACATTTGAGACTTCCAGGATGAAGACGAGGTTGGACTTCGCACTTCTGGGTTTCCAGTCCATCTTTGACTTCGTAATCCCTTTAATGGAAGTGAAGTGCCTTGTTCATTTGGAAGCTGTATCAGTTTTTACAGAATACCCCTGTATCCCTTTCTTTGGTATTTGCTTCGATAGGTAACACTAGTACAAGTGAAGTTTATACTTTCTGTGGCTGTATTTTTTGTTTGTGTGTTTTCCTTTCCCCCAATTTGTTTTTTTTAAATAAAAATTACTTACTTTATGTTGTGGTGTGACCTTATGTTGGTAGGAATGATGCAGGGAGGGAAGGGTGCCTGAGGCGAGGCCCTGGCTCTGTAATGGCTGCTGGCCGAGGGGTCGGTCCCTGCTCTCCCCTGGGGAAGCAAAGCTGCAGGTGCTGGAGCTTCTCCTTGTCCCCATGACCGGGCGAGGGGCCAGGGCACCTTTGTCCCCAAAGGATCTGGTGTCCCTTGCCACCCATGACA